TCCTTCCTTCCTTCCTTCCTTCCTTCCTTCCTTCCTTCCTTCCTTCTCTTCTTCTTCTTCCTACCCCCCTTCTCTCTTTATTCTTATTGCGATGTGAGAGGAGGTTTACGGAGCAGATCAGTTTTCGATTCAACAATTCCTACACATTTCCTTTCAATTCATTCATTGCAATCCACATAATGTAACATCACTTACTCCTGTCTTTGCTGCTTCCGTTCCTCCTCCTTTTCTAACCCTTCTGAACGTTGTCTTTGGGCAAATGCATCTGAAATAGTCAATCATTTTAAGGTGTGTGTGCTACCTCCTTGATGCTATTATTCCCCCTTATAGACTGTCCCTTGTTTGACTCAAAATTGATTCATTGTTATTCTTCAAATCAAACAAACAAACGATATTTGTTCTGATACACAGAGACGCATAGGGTAGAGTTGAACTATTCCCTAGTGTGTCCAAGGTTGTAATCATACAGAAGTGCAATGTCACACTTTTCTTGGTTAAAACCAAGTAGATTTTGGTTAGCAACTGAGTGCTTTATCACTGTGCCAACAGGGTTCCTTCTGTTCTTCAAACTCAACTACTCACCACCATTGATACCAACTCATAGGAACCCTATAGGACAGGGTAGGACTGCCCCTGTGAATTCCCAAGACTGGAACTCTTTATGGGTGTAGAAAGCCCAAGGGAGCAATTAATTGTGCATGAGAGAGAGGTGGAGATGGGAGAGTAAGAAGACTACAAAACTGAGTTTTATTGGGAAGGAAGGGCAAATAACAAAGATCAAATGCTTGTGTAATTGATGTGGCTCTTCACATAATTTGAAGGTAGAGTTTAGCACAAGGTGGAATTACCGAATCATTATCTTGACAATGGTAGGAGGATTTGTTCCTCTATAACTGACATTTTACAGTTGCTCATGGTATGGAACATAGACAATTATATCTGTACTGTGAACTTGAAGGTTGAAAATTGGCAGAGAAAAGCTTCCAGACAGAAAAGCTTTCTCTAAAAATCTTGCCTGTATTTTCCCATTCACTGTAATCACCTCCCCAGATGTATATGGACTGTGGTTTGAGATTAAAAAAAAAAAGTCCTTTTTTTTTTCCAAATGGCAAGATCTAGGTTTCTTATTCAATTACTTTAAATTGTTTGCACAATTACAACATTTTAACTACAGATTTGAGTTTTAAAAGTATGATTATGTTGACTCTTCTTTTCACTTAAGTTTTTTTAACTTTCTCTTTGGTTAGTTTTCTGTTCAGTTTGGAAAACAGATCTATTAACAAATTATAAAGCAGCTCCCCCACCCCTCCAGCAATGAAATGCATTCTATCTATGTACTAATTTTTCTTTCTTCCTTCCTCCCTTCCATTTATCTTTTCATTATTTATACACTATTACTGGGGGTGTGTTTCTATTTTTTCTTCTTGGTAGATGGAGAAGAAGTTCAAATTAGGCTTACTAATGGAAACACTTATATACAATATTTGTGTAGCTAGGTGGAATATCTACCCTCATACTGAGCAGTGTATTGTTAACAAAATTTAGAGCATTTTATAGAAGAAAGAAATTATTCCTTTCATCTCTTAATATCTGTGTATTTTCTGAAAAAAGTTACCTTTGAAATATTTGGGTCCTAGTATAATGAATGTAATATCCTTAATTTTAAAAGTTTGTCTCATTTCTTGAGTGTACTCTCCAATGCTTAAGGTAGAAACAGAAAATTGCATTCAATCCTTCCGTTTAGAGAAAAATGATGATAATAATTGGCTGTGTCCTCTCACCCGAGATTGTCTTGTCTTATATTTTTGTTCTATTTTAAATCCTTTTTCTTATTTTCACTTAACCTTGGGGATACAGGATTGAGTGAAAGATTCATATTTAAGAAAGGGAGTAATAGGGTGTGAAAGACTCCAATGAATCTGTGATAGAATATGTGTGATGTTAGACATATATCCCTGGGTTATTAAAACTTGTAAGGTGCACAGTGATTAAGAGCTGCACAGCTAACTGAAAGGTCAGCAATTTGAACCTGTCACGTACTCCGTGGGTGAAAGAGATGGAAGATAGCTTCCATGAAGATACAGACCTAGAAACTCTATGGAGTGATTTTATTCTGTCTTAGAAAATCACTATGAGTTGGAATGGACTCTGTGGCAACAGCTTACAATTAAAAAAATAAAAAGATTTGTTAGAATTCTGTAGTGTGTGTGTAAGTGAGAACTTTATATCACAGAGCAATTGTACATTAAGGAAAAATCCCAGCTCAGTACACATCAAGCCCATAAGTTTAATATTAGCACATATGTACGATACCAATCTATAAATTCTTCTCTAGACTCACGCAACACATGCAGTGACGCCGAATGCAGGAAGATCACAGACCAGTGGGTGGAAATATTGTAGATCCAGTGGCAATGGAAGCATCTCAATGCTGGCAGGGATCTGCACGTAGCTCCTCCAGCTGCAGAACTCTAGCGCAGCTCCATGTGTCTTGTCAGCAGGAAGACGAAGCAGAGAGTCTTAGAATTCTGTATTTACTGGGAGGATCTGATGGAGGTCCTATGGTAGAGTTCTTGCCTGCCATGCTGGAGACTGGGATTTGATCTTAGTCAAAGAACCTCTAGCTCAGTGTCCCCCCATCTGTCATGACCGTTGGTTGTCATGAGGCAGAACAGATTATAGTCAAACTATACTGTCTTCTAGTATAGGACAGACTAAGACAAAGGAGCCTGGGGATCTACTTCCAAAAAACCCTGTGGATCACAATGATACAACTGGTAATCCTTCAGTGGGTGTTGTAGGTCTGGGCAGTCTTTCATTCTGTTATGCATGGGGTTGCATGGGGGCTGACTTGATGGCAGCTAATAAACAAACAAAGGCACTGGACCAGGCAATGTTTCATTCAGTTGTCATGTGGTTATGTGCTATGGAGTCAGTTCCAACCCATTTGTGCAACGGAATGAAACACATGCACCATCCTACAGATGTGCAAATGTTCTTATGTCTGAGCCCATTGTTGTAGCCATTGTCAAGCCATCTTCTTGATGGCCCTCCTCTTTCCAACACTTGTCTGTCAGGTTGTGTTCCTGTGGTGGCTTGTGTGATGTTGTGATGCTGAAAACGATGTCACTGGTATTTTGTATGCCAGCAGGATCACCCAAAGTGAACAGGTTTCAGCAGAGCTTCCTCACTAAGAACAGCCGACAAAGAAGGAGTGGGCCGTCCATTTCAGAGGAAAACTCTTTGGATAGCAGTAAACATCACCCCCTCATATTTAAAAGTCAAATATGAAACATTCCTGTTGTCATAGGGTCCAACCATATCCATAGGGTTGTTATGAGTTGAAACCCACCTGATAGCATCTAAAAAACAACAACAACACACAAAACACTGTTGTGTGAGTGATGGGCTGCTAACCCATCACTAACCATCACTACCCATAAGTGTGGGAAACTAACACTGAGGGGAATATGATCAGGACTATACTCCCTAACTTATGACAGGGGATCTGGAAAGCTAATATTACATGGTAGGGAAGACACCACTCTGGTAAATTAGAGACAAAGTCCAAGCACACGATCCTGCTTTAAATGTCATTCCCACAAATTCTCCCCTAACAGCTATGCTACTGTAAAGTGAGCACATGGTTGATTCTGTCTCTCTGTAGAGACAGACATTCCCTGACTATCTCTTCCTACTGTGGTGCCCACAACCCCTCATCCCTTCTCCCAATGCAGTATTAGGTTTCCTCCCCTGTGAGCTCAGCTAATTTACTGTGATTACTACCCACCTTGTGACATATGTAACGCCTGAATATAAATGACTAAGGGCTACCTATAAAAGCCCCCAAACAATAGAGCCATCCTCTCCTCTGGGCTCCTCTCCTTCCCTCTCCCATGTTCCCTTCTTCCCTCCTCCTCTCAGCTCCCGTTCCACGTGGACCACCAAGAATGGCTGAAGTGAGCATGCTACCATGAAATGTGCCTGACTCCTTTATTTTACTCTCTCTCCCATCTCTCTTATTCTCTATGAATTTACTATAATCTTTATATATTATCACCATACAGTTGCTCCTATAGGCCTGTGATGTTGTTAAAGGCTGGCTTCCCTGACACATAGGTTGTTGGTTCAAACCCACCAGCTGCTCATCAGGCTAAAGATAAGGCTGTCTGCCTTCATGAAGAATTATAGCCTCAGAGACCCAGTAGGGTCACTCACTGTGCATCTGAATAGGCTCCATGGCGGTGAGATGGAAACGTATGTGTGAGATGCTCTTTGGGTGTGATCTCTTACTTACTATGTTCTTATAGGAGGCGAAGCGCTTTTCCAACATAGATAAATCTTGGGTGAAGATCATGATGCGGGCACATGAAATACCGAATGTGGTTCATTGCTGTGTCGGGGATGAGACCATGGGGCAGCTGCTACCACACTTGCTGGACCAGCTGGAGATCTGCCAGAAATCCCTCACTGGGTAAGCCCTTAAGTGTGCTGGACTTATCACCCATCAGATGCAAGGGAACAGAGAGATGATACAACATCCACAAGTCTGCTTTATTTTACAAAGACTGACGTGTGTTCAGGAGTTGCTCGAGGTACAAATGGATAACTACTCAGCTGTTACATCAAAGGTTGCAGGTTAGAAAAATTTAAAAATTAAATTCACAAGTCACAAAGAGTACAGGGAAAAAGAAAATGTTCTAAATTGAATGTGGTAAAGATTACACAACTCTTCTGGATACTGAATTGTATGATATACGGATGAAGTGCCAATAAAACTGTTAACAAAAAAGAAGGTTGGAGGTTCAAGTCCATCTGTGGTGCCTTGGAAGAAAGGCTTGGTGAGCTACCACTCACTAGAAATCTAATTCTACTCTGACTCACTCAATGGTAACGGGACAAAACGGGGAAGAAAAGGGACAGAGCCTTGTTTAAAGTTGTTGCAGGGTAAGCTGGCAGTTCTGAGCCTCATAGTCTTCTCAAGCATGGACAAGCTCTTGTCCTGATGTTGGCATTACAGAACATACCGTTGTGTCTATGGCTGGAATGAGATCTTAACAATTACCCACATCTGTCAACACACCCACCCCACTGCGATTGAGTGGACTCTGACTCCAACTGACCTCATAGGTCAGAATAGATCCACCCTATTAATTGGGCTGTCCAGGTTGCAAATCCTTATGAAAACCAGTTGCTGGTGGTTGGAGCTGCCCACCTTTTAGTGATCAACCGAGGCTTAGCCCCCTGTTCCACTAGGACGCCTTCTCTCACACAGAGTCACACCTTTATAAAATGATTGCAATAACTCTTTTGACATTCTTCTCAGACAAACATTTGTTGAACAAAAATATTTCACAATACTTCCATGAGCAATGCATACAAGGAGGCAACAAAACAAAACAAAACCCAAACTCACTGCCATTGAGTGGACATCCATTCCCAGCAACCCTGCCCATCTGAGTTACGGAGACTGTAACCATCTCTCTCCCATGGAGCAGCTGGTGGTTTCGAACTGCAGACCTTTGAGATCCCAGTCCAACTCATAACCATTACACCAGGGCTCCTCAAGGAGGCAAGAGTACAGAGTATATACAGTATATATCTTGCTGCTAAATTCTTTATCATATAACCCAACTACTCTGATTATTTGCTCAGCATACAGATTGGATAAGTATGGTGAGAGGATACAACCCGGATGCACACTTTTCTGGATTTTAAGTCATGTAGTATTCCTTTTTTGGGAGTGCATAACTGCATTATCTGAGGTAGGCCTCAAATAATGCCTACCACTGTACGTACACACAGATGTACACACTTGCACACACATGTTCACAACATAATTTTAGCTTTATTTCTCTTTAATTATGGGTAGATTTTACTGCATCATTCAACCTATCACAACATTTTCTAACTTCTCAGAAAAAAAAGTCCACTCTAAAATGATACATCACTTTACCTGAACTTCCTTTGGCTTTTGGTTCTGATCGAACAACAGGTTATAAGTCACCTGTGTAAAGACTCATACCTGGATATGTCTGTGGGTATGAACGTCAGTGCAAGGATGACATCATCCCCGGATGACAAGAGCCAAGAGGATAGCAACAGTCTTCAGAAATAATCTGGTCATGATTGGAGTGGTGCCCAGCAGCGCGCTGTCTGAAGGGAAGCTGTCTTCTTTGCGCCACGTTGGCTTTGGCGGCCATATTCCACGTGTGACCGATGCTCGTATTCCATTATGGCAGAACAGAACTGGACAGGAAACATTCACCTGGTTCTTCCTGAGATTCAGAGCAGGGTGCTGTCAAGAAGTCATGGATAGGAATCCTCCGAAGGCAACTGTAACAACGAAAGTCTCGTTGCAAGCAGAGGGGTGATAAAGCCCTTGACTGGAGCTTCACTAACTCCTGGAGGCAGGTCCTTTCAAGGAGCCCCATCACAGTTGAATTTGGCTTCTGCTCTAGCGATGGATCCAGAGTGTGCCTTTTAAGGATACTTTCCCAAGAATAAGACACAGCTTTTAGCTGACACCATGTTGTGCTTGGAAACAAACCAAACAAACTACAAAACCCAAACAACTCCCTATATGGGTTTTATTTTGTGCTCTACAAAAGAAGCACAACATGATGTCTAGCTGAAGCTCAAGTTGTATACTTGACATTTTTGCAGAATGAAGAAAGCCTCCCACTACCCCTAATTCTGGGGGGGGGGGTGGTCATCAATTCCCCATTAGGATATGAAACCAATTTTAGCGACCTAACAGAAATCAGAAGCATTGAGGAGTCCTGTGGGAAATCCAGCTGCCTCAGAACCTGTCCCCATTTCCCACTCAGGTTGACTGATTCCTAGATAGGCCACAGGGGTCCTGAGGGCATAGTGGGTTTTAAGTTGTTCTGCTATGCACAAGGTCAACAGGGTGAACTCACCAGCTGCTTTGTTGGAGAAAGATGAGGCTTTCTGCTCCTGTAAAGGTTTACAGCCTCAGAACCCCACTGGAGCAGTTCTAGTCTGTCCAAGAGGGTTGCTATGGATCAGAGTTGATTCCTTGGCAGTGAGTTTTGAGTTGTAGACAGGCCGCTATATGTGTTTAATCAGCTCGTCTTCTTCTGCCCACTTAGGTACTTGGAGAAGAAGCGACTGTGCTTCCCTCGATTCTTCTTCGTCTCGGACCCTGCCCTTCTGGAAATTCTGGGCCAGGCCTCGGACTCGCACACCATACAAGCCCATTTGCTGAATGTGTTTGACAACATTAAGACGGTCAAGTTCCATGACAAGGTTCGGGCCACGCTGATTGCTGCCAGCAGGCATCATGTTGTAGGAGCCGGGCTGCCCTTCCTGTCGATACTGTGTCTGCAGAGGGGACTTCCCTGTCCACTGGCTCTTCCCCAGTGACTACAAAGTTGTGAACCCGACATGCCGTCAGAGCCATGTGACCTCTCGATGTTCAAGGTGTAGAACTGAATAAAGGGGCCTGGTGACTCAACTGTTAAGTACTCAGAGGCTAACTGAAAAGTTGATGGTTGGAACCTACCCCGTGACTCTGCAGGAGAACAGATCTGTTAGTGATCAGTTCCTTGAGAGATTACAGCTTGTTCTTATTTTTGGGTGCTGTTAAGGGAGCTCTAACTCACAGTGACCCTATGTACCACAGAAAGAAAGCTGCCTCATCATCCCCATTTTTAAAATGATCAAACCCATTGTTGCAGCCCCCATGCCAATCCATCTCACTCAGGGTCTTCCTCTTTTACTCACTGCCACCGAGTCAATGCTGACTCATAGCAATCCCCCTGTAGGTCTCCTAGTCAGTAACTGTTTACGGGAGTAGAAAGCCCAGTCTTTCTTCCATAGGACGCTGGTGATTTCAAACTGCTGACCATGTGGATCGCAGCCCAACTCATAACTACTACACCACCAGGGCTCCTTTAAGGTGACCCTATTATTCATCCTGGCATAAAGTTTACATTTATTGAGCACTATGATGTACCAAGTATCTTTGGGTGGTGCAAACAGTCTACACAAGGCTATTAGTTATCAGGGAAGCATTGGACTGCTAACTGCAAAGTCAGTAGTTCAAACCCTGCAACTATTCTGAAGGAAAAAGATGAGGTTATCTATATCTATAAAGATTTACAGCTTTGGAAACCCTATAGAGTGTTACTATAAGTTGGAATAGATTAAATGACTGTTTGTGTGCAAATATTGTCAATTCATCCAATGATTAGTGGTTTAAATCCACCTCCTGGTGGGGCAAGAGGAGCCTTTATCCAATGATTAGTGGTTTAAATCCACCTCCTGTGGGACAAGAGGAGCCCTGTTGTCATAGTAATTATGTGGGCTGATTAATGCAAGGTCAGCAGTTTGAAACCATTAGCCATTGAGGGAGGAAGATGAGGCTTTTTACTCCTTTAAAGAGTTACAGTCTAGGAAACCCAACAGAGGCAGTTCTACCCTGTCCCATAGGACTGCGATGAGTCAAACTTGTCGATGGTAGTGAATTTGGTTGTTTGTGTGGTTTTTCTTCGGAGGGGGGCGGGGGAAGTGGTGAGGCAAAGGAAAGAGAGGGCTCCAGGTGGCAACATGGTGCCATGTTGGGCTGCTAACTGCAAGGTCAACAACTCGAAACCATCAGCCGCTCTGCGGGGAAAGATGGGGCTTTCTACTACTGTAAAAAGTTGCAGTCTCAGAAACTCAAGGGAGCAGTTCTGTCCTGTCATAGAGGGTCGCTGTGCGTCAGCAACGATGTGATGGCAGTGAGTTTGCTGAAGGGCCAAAGAAAGGCCTTTGAAACCCCATGGAACACAGTTCCACTCTGACACACGTGGGGTCTCCATGAGTTGGAATTGAATCAACAGCCAGAGATTGATCTGTCAGGAGTCTCGCTTAGAAATAGGAATATTCCAACCTCCTGCTGCTTATATTGGAGTGGAGGAGACCGATATGTCAACACGTCGTTTCTGTAGCGCGGGGAGAGGGCTGTGGCAGAGTTATCCAGTGCATGCTATAATGCTAGTTGTGGCTCAGTTGCTAACCATAAAGTCGGCCACTTGAACCACCAGTGGCTCCCAAGAAAAAGATATGAGAGTTGGTTCCAAAACATTCAACCTGTTGCTAAAGAGTCCATTCTGACTTGTCGAGATCCCAGAGACTGGTGTAGAACTCCCCCATAGGGGTTGCAAAGCTGTAAATCTGTACAGAACCAAATTGCTACATTTTTTCTCTTATGGAAAAAGGCTGGTGGAATCAAATCAGTGATCTTTCAGTTATCAGCTGATTACTTAACCACTCTGTCATTAGCATACCTAAAGATGACAGCCTCAGTAATCCTATGGGGACACTTCTACTCTGACCAATTGACTGGATGGCACGACGACAACAACAACAACAACAACAACAACAACAACAACCACAGCCGTGTGCCAGGCCTAATGCTTGTCCTGAGGTTAAAAGGAGTGTTTCGTAATCCATACTGAACTATTTTTTATGCACACAATCTTCTTGTTGCTAGGTGCTGTCGAGTAGGATCCCACTCATGTACCACTTGATGTACAACATAACGAAAGACTGCCCAGCCCTGCACCGTCCTCGCAATTGTTCCTATGTTGAGCCCAGTGTTGCAGCCACGGTGCCAGTTCATCTTGTTGAAGATCTCCCTGTTTTCCTCTGGCCCATTACGTTGCCCACCACGATGTTCTTCTCCAAGGACTGCTCTCTTCTGATAATATATCAAAATATGGGAGACAAAGTCTGGCCAGCCTTGCCTCTGAGGAGCTTTCTTACTTCTTCCAAGACATTTGTTTGTTCTTTTTACCAAGATACTTTCAATATTCTCCATCAGCATCATAATTCAAATGCATCTATTCTTCTTCGGTCTTCCTTATTTAATGTCCAACTTTCACACACATAAGAGGTGATTGAATATAACATAACTCGGGTCAAGCACACCTCAGCCCACAAAGTAACTTTTCAATACTTTAAAGGGCTCCTGTGTAACAAGTTTACCTACTGCAATAGGCTTCACTATTGCAGTGCTAGTTATTGAACACACCACAATCTACCAACAGAACAAACCAGTCTACAAAGAAATACAAGCAGGATGCTCCTTTGAAGCAAGCTTGGCTAGGCTTTGATTTACTCCCTTGGGTCATGTCAATCAGGACAGATTAACTGCAAGGAAAGGACATGAAATTCAGTGAAGAAGAAGGTCAGCACAAACAAGGGGGGACCCTCCATCAGATGGACTGACTAATGGACTCAAACACAGCCCATCCGGAATATGGCCCATGACCATGTTCTGTTATACATGAGGTCACCATGAGTCAGAGCCAAGGTGAAGGCAACTCACAGCAATCAAGATGAGCCTGAGGGATCAATATTCTATCTATCCAGCAACAGAAACAACAACAAATTGCAATTGTTTTTATCATTTTAATTATTCTGTTTAATTGGTATGAACAGCCCGTGAGGAAAATAGGGAAGTGGACAGGCATGATTTTTAAGGCCTTCTTTAGGCAAGAAATTTAGTCTCAGGGATGTTGCATGGACTGAGGATGGGAGAGCACCATTTGAACCTATATCTAATAACTCCAAATACCCCTGTGTTCTATTTGTGCCTGGCTGCATGGAAATGAAGGGAGATGAACAGATTGGAAGCTGGGTTTCAATTACAAGACACAATACACAATTATGACCCTTTGTGAGAAAGTACAATGTTTATAATACAGCATATGAATGACCAGGCTAAATTGCAACTGGATAATTTTTCATAAACCATTTTGTTAGGACATAATCCAAGTATCATATGTTTCAATGGTTCAATTTTATCAAGAAGAGTTGTTTAATCACTACCACAATCAATTTAGAACATTGTGTTCTTTCTTGTACTCCTTGTTATTAGCTCCCCATTTCCCCCATTTCTGCTGCCGTAGCCACAATGAATCATTAATTCCATTACTGTCTCTAGAGAGTCACCCATCCTGGACTTCATATACCAACCAACATACAGAAACAAAACAAAATAAAAACCAAAGAGTCAGAAAAGCTAACGGCAGTAACACAATGAAACAGAAAAAACCCTCGATTAAAAAGAAAACAATACATTAAGAACTGAAACACTGTAAAATGGGTCAAAAGGAGATCAAATAGTTAAGGAGTTAGATGTTGACTTGCAGAATGACAGACTCTTAGAGAATCTCATTTTACTTGGACACATTCGAGATTTTTCAATCATCCCATTTGTTTTAGATACTTCTTTTAGAAAACGAATTCTCTCCTCTTGAGTATAAATTATTTGGGATTGATTTAGGACTCCTTTTCAGAGTTCATGGTGAACTTTTTGTTTGTTTGATTTTGTTGCTTAGGAATTGATTTCATATTTTACTTGTGTCTTCTGATCTGCCGTTTAACCTGTGGGAAGGATAACATTGACTAGAGGAAAAGGTCGCACTTATTTTTCATGCTTCATGTGAAGATCACTTTTTGTTTGTTTTTAACCTAGATCTATGATCGCATTCTGTCAGTTTCCTCCCGAGAGGGCGAGACGATTGAATTGAATAAGCCTGTGATGGCAGAGGGCAATGTGGAAGTGTGGCTCAACTCACTGCTGGAGGAATCTCAGTCTTCATTACATCTGGTCATTCGTCAGGCAGCTGCAAATATTGAAGAAACAGGCTTCCAACTGATTGAATTTCTGTCTTCCTTCCCTGCTCAGGTCAGTGTATTCAGATTGAAAAGTGTCTTTCATGGGAGTCATTGGCTACGTTCAGCTTTACAAATGGCTGTAGTTGAACTCTGGACCAATATCAAGTTTTTCATAAGGATTGATTGAACATAGATAAGCCTAATTATTTCAGCTATAAGTTATTTGTTGATTTGAGGAGGCTTCAAGTCAGTCATAGAAAAACGGAACTGAATAATAATGGAATCCCTCCTACCCCACAAAGTTTTAAAAGCCCTTTTATATATCTTTTTATATCTGTCTCAATACCTGTGCACCTTTAGATAGGCTCACACATGCATTTTTTTGGTGGAGATACCCAATACATTTTGTTTAAGTTATCACAGATCTTTTTCTACTGAGTTCATTTATTTATGTAACAATGCACACAAATCATAAAAATATATTGAGTATCTACTTTACTAGAAAAATGAGAAATATGTTTCAGTCTTAGCTTTCAGGAAACAATGTTCTCACAGTGATTGTGATAAATAAAGATTTTGTGAGTATCTACTATGGGAAAACACAGCTTGTTTTGATAAAGCACATTCCTGGCATATCTGTCATATACCCTCAACTCTTACTGACAGAAAGTCGTAGTGACCTTTTAGGTTAAACTGCCCCTGGTTTCTGAACATGTAGCTCTTTATAGGAGTAGAAAGTCCTTTCTCCTACAGAGTGACTGGTGGTTTTGAACTGCTGACCCTTTAGTTCATAGCCAAGGTGTCGACCAACATGCTATGAGGGCTCCTCTCCTTTCCTACAAGTACTTTAAAAATCTTTCTAAGGAGGAACATGACTTCTAGTAAGAAGACTACGAGAATAAAATGTAGACATATTACGAAGTTCTACATACTTCATTGTAGAACAAGATCAGTCGAGGTTCTAAGGATTTTGAAACAATATATCGAGTTGAGATCATCAAGAGTGGCTTTGCATTTGTACGATCACAACTGCTCACCATATGTAGCCCTTGTACTGCAGGATAACAGCAGTTTGTTCTCATGTACCTAGAGCCACTGTAAGTATGAACTGACTGGATGACAGCCAGCAGTCGTCGTAGTTACTAGGTTGTTGTTTCTATGCAAATATGCAATAAACAGTGATAGCACCTTTTTGTTTTATGAAGGTTGGACTATTAGGGATTCAAATGCTGTGGACACGGGATTCAGAAGAAGCCCTAAGAAATGCCAAGTCTGATAAGAAAATCATGCAGAAAACCAATCAGTCTTTCCTGGAACTTCTGAACACACTGATTGACATCACCACCCAGGATCTGAGTTCCATGGAGCGGGTGAAATACGAGACTTTGATTACTATTCATGTGCACCAGAGGGACATCTTTGATGATCTGGTAAGTGCTTCCTAGATGCTGTGGCGCAGGCACAACAACACATGCAAGGCCGTCTCTTCGTTTGCCCACTGGAACGAAGTTGATGGACTTCCAGGAAAAGGTTGAATCCAAGACAAGATTCATCTTTGTTATGAGACCATGCTTATAAAATTGTCTTGTCGGTCTTTGCCTGAACATTTTTTGGTCATTTTCCTTTGATTATGGAAGCAGTTTGATTTTTTTTTTATCTGAAAGTTTTTCGTGTGATGATTTTCAGGGTGACAATGCCATGCAGTATCTGGACACAAGCTTTTTTGTTTGTTGGTTTCTTGCTCCTTGTGGTTGTTAACTGCAGATCAGCAGCATTTTGCTACAGAAAGAAGAACCATTGCTAGTAGAATGAGTTAGAAAGTACTTCTTGTAGGATGTTTGAGAAATCACATCCTTAACGAGTTTTGCTACATCTTATGTGATTGATTGCCAAGGTTCTTTCTAATAGAGGTCTTGGCATGGAAGTATCATGCAGACTTTAAAAGGAGAACAAGGTGATGGGGAAAATAATAACACAAAGGAGTCCAGTAGTTATAGAAAACAAGAAATGGGAAAAGAAATTAAATTTGTCCTCTGCTGTAAAATGCAGCCTTGCATAAGATGCAAGTAGCTCTTATTTTCATAATAATTTTCTGGGTTGTGTCTGACCCCATTATGTTAAAAAAAGAAAGATTGTGAAAGATTGGCCCAGAGGTAATGGGAAGAAGGCAACACTTTGGAGCCGTTTGTGTGGCTAATCTGCTCTCTATAGTTAAGAACACACTTGGCCTCCCTGAGAAATAAAAGGCTCAGGATAATTTTAGATTTCTTAGTTGTCAAAGAAAAAGGATTAAAGTGGCTTAAAAGTTTGATTAAAAACATACACACACACACACACACACACACACACACACACACACACTCACCGCCCCCCTCCTCGCCCAACTGAGGCACTGCCGAGGAGCCTTGACATTTATTTCCCTAAGAGAATTTGATGCTGGAACAGTTGGCCCTGTGCAAGGCCCTTCAGAAATTACGAATGGATCCAAAAATCCAATAGGGGGCTTTGTCACAGTCAGAAGAGATGTTTGTGTAGCTGATGAGGTTGTGTGTCCCTGGAGTTTTCCATAGGCGATATTTCACTCAGGGTTTTGATATGGGGCAACTGTGACTGCCATTTAAAAGCTGTGGGTTGTACCATTGAAATACATCTATTAAAACAAAAACCTAGTCCGGCTGCCAATGAGTTGTTTCCCACTCCAGGTGTGTCCGAGTAGAGCTGTGCTCCAGGGGGTTTTGAAGTACCATTGTAGACCTTTCTTTAGTGGCACCTTTGATTAGATTCAAATCATCAACCTTTTGTTAGTAGCCTAACAAATGATTAATATGCCCTGTCCAGAGACTCTACTGAAATATATCAAAGCTGTCCACATCAAGTTACTTCTTGTGGTAGTTACATAATCCGGTGTCAATTCGAGGATTAAGAGTGAAGGGGTGGGGTCTTGTCTGTCAATCAAGTTAGAGCCAATGAGGCCTTTGCGTGGGCATGCCCTTCTCCTGAGGATTCTGGGAACTCTGGTATTCCTCCCTGGAGGTGGAAGACACTCTCTCTCTTGACTCACTTCCTGAGAGATGCTCTACTGACAAGACACATGGTGCTTCACTGATAGAGCCCATGCCATGGGAGCTGGAGGAGCTACGTGGAGACCCCTGCAAGCAGTGAGATGCTTATAACACCACTGGATCCACAAGACTTCCCACCCACTGGCCTGTGATCTTCCTGCATTTGGCATCATTTCATGTGTCTCATGAGTCTGAAGAGGACTTTATAGATTGGTATCAGACATATGGACTAATGTCAGACTTAGGGACTTGATCTGGACTGGGCTGGGATGTTTTCTCAATAGTCATTTGCTGATGTATACAGAGCTCTTCCCTATACACATATGAGTATCTATGAATTTGTTTCTCTAGTCCACCCAGAGTAACACAATTCTGATTGATGGCAACCTCAAGTGTTAGTTTTCTTCGTTGTACTCTTTATGGAAACAGATGCCGAGATCTTTCTTCCATTGCAGTGCTCAATGTATTGGAACTGCCGCCTTTTGGTTAGTAGTCAAATGAAATGCTTTTGTGCCACATCAGTTCCTAGCAACTCAGTGAACTTGGTTCTGTTGAATGAAACCCTGCCTGGCCCTGTACCATCTTCCCAATTGTGCTTGAGCCCATTTTTGCAGCCACTGTGCCAAAATCCATCTTGTTGAGGGTCTGCCTCATTTTCCCTGACCCTCTACTTTACCAACCATGCTGTCTTTTCCAGGGATCGATCTCTCTTTGTAACACGTACAAAGTCCTTGAGGTAAAGTCTCACTATCTTCACTTCTGAGAAGTTTTCTGGCTGCACTCCCTCTCAGATAGGTTGATTTGTTCTTCTGGCGGTCTACGGTACTTTCAGTCTCTTTCCCAACACTGTAATTCAAATGCAGCAACTCTTATCCGGTCTTCATTATTCATTGTCCAGGATCATTGAAGATACCATAGCTTGGTGTTGGGACACTTTGATTCTCCAAGTGACATATACACTCTTTAATAGATTGAAGAGATCTTGTGCATCAGATTCACCCAAATGTAATATGTTGCTTGATTTCAAGACTGCTGCTTCCATGAGTGTTGATTGTGGATCCAAGCAAAATGAACTATGTGTAATGTCAGCCTTCCCATTTATCATTATGCTGTCTGTTAGTTCAGTTGTGAGGAAAAAAAGTTTACACTGAGTTGTAATCCTCCCAGAAGGCTGTAATCTTTGATCTTCATCAGGAAATGCTTCAAATCCTTTCCCCTTCCAGCAAGCAAACTTGTGTCATCTGCTTATCACAGGTTGTTGATAAACCTTCCTGGAATCCTGGTGCCACATCCTTGTTTATATAGTCCAACTTCTTGGATTATTTGCTCAGCATACAGATGGAAGGAGTCTGGTAAAAGGACGCAACCTTGACACACACTTTTCCTGATTCAAAACCACATGGTATCCCATTGTTCTCTTAGAGTGACAGCCTCTGGGTCTATATAAAGGTTCTGCAGGGGCACAATGAAGTTTTCTGGAATCCCTATTTTCCTCAATGGTATCCATAGTTAGAATCCACACAGAATGTTTTTGCATGGCCAATGAAATGCAGTAAACCCTGCTCTAAGCCTAGATCCATCTTTCAGCAATGATAAACCCACATGCCACGTCTTCTTCTAAATCCTGAGTGAATTTCTGGGTGTTCCCTAGGGGGCAGTACTGCATCTCTTTTGAATTATCTTCAGAAAAATTTTACTTAACATGTGATAGTAATGAAAATGGCGATAATATCTACATTCTCTTGGGTTACCTTTTTTTTTTTTTGAATGAGTCCAAATGTATATTTCTTCTAGTTGGTTCGCCAGGTAGTTGCCTTCCAAGCTTCTTGACATTGATTATTGAGTGCTTCCAGTGCTGCATAGTTTGTTGACATATTTCAATTGGTATTTGGTCAGTTTCTGGGAGCCTGCTTTTCACTAATGATTTCAGTGCAGCTTGGACTTCATCCTTTTGTTCCATTGGCTCTTAATCATATGTCACCTCCTGAAATAGTTGAATGTTGACCAGGTCTTTTTGGTACAGGGACTTTGTGTATTATTTCCTTCTTCTTTCGATGCTTCCTGCATTGCTCAATATTTTGTCTATAGAAACTTTCAAGATTACAACAGTGTTTGGACCTTTTCTTGACTTGTCTGTGTTTTAGCTAGACTGAGTGTGTTCTTCTTTTTTGGTTTTCTAACTCTAGGTCTTGGCACATTTCACTATGTGTTAGTCTGGATTGACTAGAGCAACAAATTCATTGACACTTATATGTGTATAAGAAAGAGCTTTATATATCAGAGCAGTTGAATATTGAGAAAACATCCCAGCCCAGTCCAGATCAAGTCCATAAATCCGATATTAGCCCATATGTCCTATACCAATCTATAAAGTCCTCTTCAGACTCATGAAACACATGCAATGATGCCAAGTGCAGGAAGATCACAGGCTAGTGGGTGTGAAGTCATGTGGATCCATGTGGCTCTTCCAGCTCCAGAGCTCTGGCTCCATTAGCCTCTCTCCATGTGCCTTCTCTACAAGGATGTCTCCCAGGGAGGGAGCCTGCGCCCCGCCTTCACCAAGCTATTTATCTCCTTAGTGCCTCCAAATAGAGTCATCAAGCTGTGACCCGAGTGACAGGCTAGACTCCACCCTTTCACTCTTAATCCTCTCAAATTGACAACAGATTATATACCAACCACACTCTATAGTATTTTACTTTGCCTTCTTGAGCTGCCCTTTGGAAATTTGGGTTTTAGCACCATTTAAATTGACATAAGGGTCAATTAGGCTTTTCTCTTAAATGTTCCTCTTTCATATCTTATAAACTCCCTTTATTGTTGATCAAATTTACAAACTTCCATATCTTCTATAGTGTTTTTTTTTTGTTGATCAATAAATGCATAATTTGGATTGTTCATATACTTGACATGTGAGAACTAGTTGAGTTGTGGTTGAATTCAGTTTACTAAGATATATGATCTGGAAATATGCTAATGTGTATATGTAATAAGAGATCTTCATCTCCTTTTAACAAATACCTTACATTTCAGTGCCATATGCATGTCAAGAGCCCCGTGGACTTTGAGTGGCTGAAGCAGTGCCGGTTTTATTTTCATGAAGATTCTGACAAAATGATGATCCACATCACAGATGTGACTTTCATCTACCAGAATGAGTTTCTGGGCTGCACAGACCGGCTTGTCATAACTCCACTTACAGACAGGTGAGCAAAGAATCCTGGGACTCCACCTATCCTCTCATGTTTTCTTCTCTTGAGGATTTTTGCTTCATATTTCATCTGGACTTAGAGACTTCAATTCCAAAACCTTTGAAAAGCTGCATTTTTAGCTTTGCATGTGTGTTTATATCTGCTTGTTAGGGCGATGACTGAAATAATGCCAGCTCCCTTGCCTACCATCTGACAGAGACCCTTCAGTGACCTCAGAAACAAAACCCAGACCCCTGCTATTGGGTTGATTTCAATTCATAATGACCCCACAGACAGAGTGGAATTAATTGCTCCATAGGCTTTCCCAGGTAATGTTCTTTCTGGAATCAGACAGCAATATCTTTCACCCACCGGGTGGCTACAAACTGCTGACTCTTTGATTAGCTCCTGAAATGTCCTCAGTGCACATTGAAGGGGCAAGAAAGTGAATTAAAGAATTAATTGCTGTCTCGCAACATGACCCAATTACGCTGGGCTTTGAGGGCTGTTTAGCTGAGGTGCTGCATATTGTCCCTAACCAATCCATTGCTATCAGATTGATTCTGATCCATGTTGCCCCCACGTGTGTCCGTGTAGAACCAAACGGCATAGGACTGGCTTCAATGGCTGGTTCGCCAAGCCTTTCTTCGGAGACACTTCTGGGTGGACTGGAATCTCCAACTTTTTTAGGTTAACACCGAGAGCCCTGACCATTTGCTGACCTGGTCGTTAGTAACTCAATGCATAGCCTCCTATATCCCCAGCGCTCCTTGATAAAGTAGAAGTTCAGTGAAAAAGAAGACCCTCAAAGTGTTGGATTGACACAGATCTTCAGTCATGGGCTCAAACACCACCATTGCGAAGGCATACGTGAGTGACCATGTACACACTTGATGAATGATTGAGTGGATGGACAAAATGACTGTTTTAAAAGTCATAAGGGTGAAATAAGTGAAGAAAGATTTAAATGACAAAGAAGGATATGATGAAGAAAGTGTAAGAGGGAAATTTTTACTACTTTTCAGAGGTAACCATAATAAACAGTTTATTTTCTCTCCTTCCAGAAATTTTGAATGTTTACTTGTATGCCAAAAATCCCTTTTAATTTTAATAACTATCACACAGCATATACTTATTGCAATTTTGTTCTTTCTATATTAAAAAAAGAGCCCTAGTGACATAGCATTGGGCTGTTAAGTCCTAGGTCAGTGGTTTGAAACCACCAGCCACTCCGTGGGAGAAAGATGAGGCTTTCTACTCCCTTAAAGAGTTATAGTCTTGGAAATTCAGGGGGAAATTTTACCTTGCCCTTTAGGGTCATTTTGAGTTGGTATTGACTTGATGGCGGTGCATTTGGTTTGTTTTAAAAACAACAATAACAGCAAAAGAACCCTGAGAACTTTAAAAGTAAAACAGGTATTTATAAGTGTAGCCATGAAGGAGATGCTGAAGTTTTCCTTTCAGCCTGTCTTACCATAAATCCTCAGTTGTTTATTTCTCTTTTACCAACTTGTCATGTTGGAATTTAGTCATCACCTTTAGCTTGTCAACTGGCATTCCAGGGCAAAGTTACGCTTTGGGGTTTCACTGCACAGTTCGCTGTCCTGTTACTAAAGGCAATTCTTGACTAAAGTGGATACTTAACCACCACCACCAACAACACAACAACACTCTTAGGCAGGAGGCACTGACAACTAGCCAGTCTTTTTACTGACTGTCCTGAGAAAATTCAATAACTTGGCAATGGCCGTGGTCCCTGAGAAGCTTGATGCTGCATGGATGGAGTTGCAGACTCTTTAGATGATAAAAAAAGCCATCAAAATAAGCCAAAGATGCACAGTGCCTTCCCCAGAGGCTCATGCGGTTCCCAGTGTCCAGTCTTTCCACTTCCGACATAAAGACAGATGCTGTCACTTAAGACAGAAGAGGGGTCTCATCTTCTTGATATGAAATGTAGTCAGGTGTAGCACGTATGCCTTTCTCTGACATATTCTCGTGACTAAGTCTTGGCCACTTAGATCTGCCTTTAGAAGTTGCGCAGTCTGGGAAAGTTCACTAACATCTGAGTTCCATCCTTCAGAATCGTGTGGGCTAGAGGTTGAGCATGCGGATACCCAGCCCAGAGCCCAGAGCTGGGCTCCGAGTAAACGTTATTCGTTTCTATTATCAGTTTGTCTCATATACTTTGGATATGCTCTCAGGACAGTTGAATCCCTAGAAAAGGACACTACACTGGGTAAAGTAGTAAAACAGGGAGTTACAATTCGCAGTGACTCTATAGGACAGAGTAGAACTGAGACTTCACATCTTCATGGGAATAAACAGCTTCCTATTTCTCCCACGGAGTGGCTGGTGGGTTCACACCACCGACCTTCTGGTTAACAGCTCAATGCACCAGAGCTCCTTGATTAAGGTCAGTGAGAAAGAAGAAGATCCTTAAGGAGATGGATTGACACAAACCTTCACAATGGGCTCAAACATAACAGTTGTGAAGAAGGCATAGTTCTGAGTGGTGGTTTTTCTTTCTTTCTTTATTCTTTTGTGCATGGAGTTACCATGAGTCAGAACCGATCGAATGGCATAGGACAACAGAATTATTGTTTTCCACTACTTCTCCATATGTTTGCCTTACTGTGGTGGCTTGTGTGATTCTGTGATGCTGGAAACTATGCCACTGGCAATTCATATGCCAGAAGAGTCGCCAGAGTGGACAGACTACGAACCAACTACAAAGAAGGAAGAGGCTGTCTACTTCTGAGGGATTAGTCACTGAAAATCGTATGAATAGCAGTGGACTTTGCCAGCTATAGTGCCAGAAGACGAGCCTTTCAGGTTGGATGGGACTCGGAAGAGAACTGCATCCTCAAAGTCGTGTTGATCAAAATGACGATGGTGTAGCTGCAGTTAAGCTTTCAGGACACTCATTTGCTAGAGAGTCAGACTCAAATGAGAAGAAATAGCTGCAGACATCCATTTATACTCAATGTAGAACAGATAATGTATGAATCAAGGAAAATTGGAAGTCATCAGAAATGAAATTAAATGTAGAAAGATTGATATCTTAGGCGTTAATGAACTGAAGTGGTATTGGACATTTTGAGCTGGACAGTCACGTGGCTTACAATATCAAGAATGACAAATGCAGGGAGAATGGTGCAGCGTTCACCGTCAGAAGAAAGCCCCATCTCAAATCTAGCTTGAAGTATAGGGCCTGCTATGAGTCCAAATTGATTCATTGGCAGTTATTTCTTTTTATTTTGAAGTACAATGCATTTTTTTCCAGGATAGGCTAACATCGATAAGCCTACAAGGAAGTCTAGTTAGCACGATTCAAATTCATATAGTAACCATTAAAGCTGGTGATGAGGAAAATGAAGAATTCTACCAACTTCCTCAGTCTGAAATTGATCACGTGAAATCATGATGCATTGTTCATTGTTGATGATTGGGGTTTGAACGTTTGATACTAGGAAGAAACAGTAGTTAGAAAATATGACCTCGATGATAGAGATGAAACTGGAGACAACGTGGCGTAAGTTTGCAAGACGACACACTTCTTCATTGCAAACGTCCCTTTTTTTAAAAAAACAACGTGTACAGTGGCTGTACAAAGGGACTCACTCCAGCTCTGGGTCTTTTCTCATGCTGGTAGAGAGATCTTCCCCTTCGTGCTTTCGAGATGACTGCTTTTATACCCAGCAGGACGGCAGTCACAACACTGTTGATCATCACTGACCATGAATCGTGTAATCCAAGGGGTACCTTCTCACCCCGGAGGAGAATGAAGGTCATCAGTAGGAGTTTCAAAGGTCTTGGCTAGACGAGGTGTATTAAATAAGTCATTGAATTGCATGAGGCAGCACAAAAATTTTAGTAATTAGGACATCTGTTTCGTGTTGGTGAGAATTCTCAAGTTTACATGACCACAGATCACCCCTTCCTTTTATCTCACCATCTACTGATGTCCAGAAGAACTAGTGTGTGTTTTTGGAAATATTAGGTAGGGACAAAGACCCAGCTATTCTGGTTTTCTCATTTTGAATCTTATTATCCATCGGAGGTATCTTCTAGCTCCTTGTCTGGTCCTACTGATGCTTCTCCCCCTTAAGGTGTTACATCACATTGGCTCAAGCTCTGGGCATGAGCATGGGCGGAGCCCCTGCTGGACCTGCAGGGACAGGCAAAACAGAAACGACCAAAGATATGGGACGATGTCTTGGAAAATATGTCGTGGTTTTCAATTGTTCAGACCAGATGGATTTCCGAGGACTGGGGCGGATTTTTAAAGGTGAGCGTTTTTATTTTTTCATTTGATGATAAATCTCAGCAAAGGTGGAATATCTGGTTCAGATTTATTTTCCACAGTTGGCGACATTTCAGTCTCACTTTTCAATATATATAACTTTTGGAAAATCGGTGATTTTTTTTTCCCCCTGGTGTGATGCAGACCCACTTTTCAACACACTTACCTTTTGTAGTGTTCCAGGTGTTTGTAGATACAGTGCCAAAATGAGAGCTTCTTTCTGGGTACTCGAAGCACGGTCTATTTGTTCAAATTTATTTTTGAATGAACTTATCTCTGTCTTGTCTTGGCAGCTGCCTAATGTTTTTTTTTTCTTTCTTCCCTTGGCGTTCCAAAATGATACACTAATTGAATTTTCTATTTAATTTCCTCTTGCAGGACTGGCGCAGTCTGGGTCCTGGGGTTGTTTTGATGAATTTAATCGTATCGATCTACCAGTTCTCTCAGTCGCAGCCCAGCAAATTTCCATTATTCTGACATGTAAAAAGGAGCGCAAAAAGTCTTTCATCTTTACTGATGGAGACAGTGTGACCATGAACCCTGAATTTGGACTTTTTCTCACCATGGTAAGGAAACAGAGCAGTTTCTGAACTTCAGCTTTTGTATCTTAGTTTCAGGGAGCCCTGGGGAGTTTGGGGTTACACATTGGGCTTCTAAGTGCAAGGTCAGCAGTTGGAAACCACCAGCCTCTCTCCGGGAGGAAGATAAGCTATCTCCTCCCTCTACTCCCATAAAGAGTCGCGGCCTCAGAAGCCCACAGGAGCAGTTCTACCCTGCCCCATGGGTCACTGTGAGTCAGAGTTGACTTGATGGCAGTGAGTTTTTAAAATCCTCGTTTTATCCACCCACTTTGGTCACAGCCATGCCATTTATTTTCCATGAGTAGAAATTAGGATTATGGTTTCCAGTCTTATTTGAAAGACTCTGGTGTACACCAACCTCCCCATTAGCAACTCCTGAGTCAGTCCTGCCTCCCCCTCAACCTAGTTAAAAAGAGAGAGTGAGATTTGCAAATGGGATGAGTGGCTCATTCCAGGTTTGTTGAATCGCTATAATGAACCTTGTAATATGATGCCGACGAACACGTCGTCCCATGCATGACCGTATCATTCATCCTCGGGTGGTTACTTCTTCGTTTAGAATCCTGGCTATGCTGGGCGCCAGGAACTCCCCGAAAACTTGAAGATAAACTTCCGCTCAGTCGCCATGATGGTCCCCGACCGCCAGATTATCATACGGGTGAAGCTGGCTAGTTGCGGCTTCATTGACAACATCGTTCTGGCCAGGAAGTTTTTCACGCTCTACAAGCTGTGCGAGGAGCAGCTCTCTAAGCAGGTGGGACGTTCTGAGGGGCTTTGTGTCCCCGTGTACTTCCTTTTCCTAGTCGCGCCGTTTTCTGCCTCGGAAAGTTGTGGTGTTGGGATTGCTCGCCCTGGGCCTTGTGGCTGCGGAGTAGAAAGGGGTAGCATCCCAAAAGTTACTTCAGTGTACGTCCTGCTGAAGGGAGCTCAGGAAAAAGAGGTTTATACATGCACAATTGTATTAGGTGCATTTAAAGAAATGACGACTCATAGCCTAGCATAGAAATGAGGCATCGAAATGAAGTCAGTTCTAGAAATGGGCAGATGTAAGAGCCAAGGAATTAGGGGTCTTGGGGTTCTCGGCTTATACCCTCTGTACAGCCATCCTAATAATGTGTGTTGTCATGGCTTTTAGGGACCGCTCAACCATCTACTCGTCTCTTCCAAGCCCAATTTTTTCTCTTATCTTTTATAGCAGGTTCAATCATTATGCTTTTGCCGAGTTAAGAGATGTGAACTTAATCCCATCTTACTTTCTCTACAAGTTATCTGTTGCTGCAAAACAGCATTACCACAAACTTAGCAACTTAAGACAACACATATGTGTCACCTGATAGCTTCTGTGTATCAGGAGTCTGGGCCGAGCTGAGCTGGGTCTTCTGATCGGTGTCCCGAAAAGCTGGACAATCAGAGTGCTGACTGGGGCTGGACTTCGTGTGATGCTCATCTGGGGAAAGATCGACTAAGCTCCTCAGGTTATTGGCCCGATTCCATGCCATGCGGTGCTGAGGGATTCTGTTCATTTCTGTCTTCAGCTCCCCCCAGTGGCCATAACAGTTCCTTGTTATGTTGTATTCCTTCATATGCCCACTTGCTCCCTCAACCTCCGCAAGGCAGGTAAGAGTTTAGAGACCCTACCCTAATTGACATGTATTCACACACGGCCTGTCATCACATATACAGTATTCTATCGGATAGAGGGAAGTCACAGGTCCTTCCCACACTTAAGGGGCTAGGATTACACATGATTGTGGACACAGCAGGTGGGAGATTGTGCCACAGCTTTCTAGAACATATAATACAAATGACCAACCGTGTCTGCAAAATAGTGATGCATGGTGATCAACGTAAGAATGCACCCTGAGAAACAACCTGTCAGCTGTCATACTGTGGTACTGGGAGCTATTATTATTATTATTAGGTGTCATTGAGTCTGTTCCAACCCACAGCAATCCTTTTCACAACACAACGAAATGCCTCCCAGCCCTGCACCATCCTCACACTTGTGAGCCCATTGTAGTAGGCACTGTGTCAATTTCCTTGAGGGTCTGTTCTTAGTCTGGAAGCTCTGCGGAAACCTGTCCACCCTGGGTGACCCTGCTGGCCATGAAATACCAGTGACCTAGCCCCAGCCTCACAGCAACACACAAGCCACCTCCATATGACAAACTTACAGACAAATGGCCGGCTGGGAGCTATGCCAGTGGTATGTCAGCTTCCACCAAACATCAGCCACTGGAAGCCTTCCATATCACAACAGAACATTATCTGATATA